GTATGTGCTGCATGAATGTTGAAGCACTTCATCACTGTTGCTATGAAAGTTCAAAGCCATTTATCTTCAATAAGGTTACTTGATGCAATCTCTAACAGGAAGAACCTCTCTGTCCTGGAGCTTTCCACAAGATTAAGTGATGTATTCAGATAGGCAATGTCTCAGGAGGATTTTTCCTACCTGGAAGACATAAAGCTCATTCTGGTTGAAGGACAGCAGGCTTTGCAATTTGTGTTTCCTATTTGCCTTCCACTAGAGTTTGTTAGTTTCTTTCTTGGAGCTTGGCATCCTTTTGTGAAAGTACTGTGAGAAGAGCCATCTTTGCAATGAAAGTTAGTCCTCATTATTCTCTTGAAGATTATCACTGCCTCCTAATCTTTCACATGTATTTTCTGGAGTGGCAGAGCCCAAAGAGAGATAAGAAAACTATTCATGAGTCTATTGCCTGTGTGGAGAGAGAAAGAATGACTGTAGTCCTAGCCAGGGGTATGAGCTAGACATTTCATGTGGTGCTCTGCCAAAGATTTTTTGTGTGGTTTTCAGCAAGTATTTTACTGCCCTGGTAGGAGCTATGCAGGTGAAAGACAGCAGAACTGTCAGGTGTCAGGACCTGTAGGAATCACTACCAGCTGCAGGTAGTGATTCCAATCCCAAAGGAGCCGGGCAGGACTGGGGCTGGGTGTTTGCACTCATGATACAGCATCCTTGTGCAGAACCCCTCACATGCAGACCCAGCTGACCTGATCACCTGCACTGCTCCAGGGACAAGGTTCCCAGGAGAGTGGAGACCCTGTAGTCAGGTGGAAGGTTCTGATAGAAGAGAAACCTCTCTACACAGAGCCTTAACTCCTGCTGTTTGCTTTCCTGGCAGCCCCGCTGTGACCGCACTCTGAGGGTTCCTGCTGAGTAGTTTCTGTCTGGAGGATGAGCTCTGCCCTCTGCTCTCTGGGCACGCCTCTGGAGACTGCAGATCTGCCCTGTTCTACCCTACTGTGAAACCCTCTCTGTTTCTGCAGGCTCATCTCTGCAGAAGGTGAATCATATTTGTGTGTGAAGAGTTCTGGTGGTGACACATGGCAATCTTTGTTTTCCGCCCTTCGCTCTGATGGTGTGAGCAGGCAGAGTTTATTGAACTCAAAAAAAAAATTTTGAAGACTTATGCTTGTGTCTGAACAGTTCAAAATCTGCAGCTCTTCCATTTGAGAAGCTGATTCTGATTCAATTGCAGAAGAAGCCCATCTGAGTCTGTTCTGACAGATTCTTCTCCAATTAAAGTATTTGTCAGGTGTGTGTTGGGCTAGAAAAACAGATAAATCACCTGTACTACAGTACTGTCAATTGGATTTAGCTCCTCTGATGCACAAAAGAGAGAGCCATGCAGTTGCATCCAGCAATTTATTTATTTATCCAGCTATAACCCTAACTTGTCCAGAATTTACCACCTCTTGTTCCTTCAGTAGTTTACTGGCCTGTATTCATAAGGATGGTATGAAACAGAGGGTGAGATACCAAGTCCAGTGGGAAGAGGACTACTGCCCTACTTCTCAACAAGCCCTACAGCCAGCACTGGCACAGCAAGATCCTTTGTCATCTTCAAGATGATGAGACTCAGGATGCTTCAGCTGATTTATAAGGAGTCATGGGTATATGATGTGAGCTTAATTCATAATGGGATTGAGCTGAAAGCACTAATGCTGCTTTACTGCAGATCTGACATTTACATTCACATGGTGTCTGATGGATAGTGCAGATGAACCAAAGTAGGTTTTCTAGTGGGTCTGGTAGCAATCCATCTGTCTCAGCCTGATGCAATTATTGTTGCAATTTACTAAACTAAGCACAAGAAAATCCATCTGTGAACAGAGATATATAAAAATCCTAAAAATAAAACCACAAACCCAAAGCCAATATTTTGTCTATGTAGAAAACCAAAAGACAACTGAAACCTCACCAAAACAAAGATGGAACACCACTCCCAGGTAGTTGGGAAAACAGAATTTTGCAACAGCTGCATAGCAATTTTGAAAGACCTCATTTTCTCCTGCACCACATGTACTACTTCCTTACTTCAAAGAGATGTAAGGCTGCGTTCTTCACAGGAAGGCAGGAATTCAGATTTAATACATTGTAAAGATGTAAAATATTCGAGTACAAAATTAGTTTTAGAAGCCCTGATTTCAGATCAAATTTAGGAAGTCAAGATTCAGCTGCCTTTCAACCATAAGCAGAACTGTAAAGTGTTATACCATGAGCACTAAAAGAATGCTTGCAAATTGAATTTCATTGTTGATCCTACTTGCCAGTATTTTAGGATTTATGTCCTACCATGTAGAATATTTGCTTCACCTTTGCTTTACGGCAGTATAAGGTTGCTCATAGGCTTTGAATTATGACAGAATTAGAATATCTTCTATGGTAGAAAGTCCTTAAATATACCTTAAATATACCTTAAAACATTTGCACTTCATGTTGAGACACTTATGAAAGCTGGATTTAGGCAACCATATCTCATTTCTCCCCAAAATACGTCTTCCTTTTCTTTACTGGGAGTCACACTGGACAGATTTTCATCAGTACTCCAACGTTTCTGAATTTCTGAAATCCCTGCCAGAGCTGGGTCTTTGCAGATGTGGAGAAAACTGATAAAGGATGTTACTTGGTTGGTTATGGAAAGCAGTGAGAACAATTTAAACAATGGCATCCAACAGGTACAAATGTGAGAAGGCAAGAAGTGCCATGGGCTCTGCAAGTCACAGGGTGAAACCACAGTTGAGGGCTTGAAATTGTGCTGAGAAAGGCAGCTATCAGATGAGGGGAGAAGACTGAAAACAAAATGGAAAAGCTGAACTGTTGGTGTGGTCACTAGAAAGCTCTGGGAGAAGAACACATGGGGTGTGTGGAAGGTTATGTTGAGAAGGTCACATTTCTGCTATCCCTCCTTCAAAACTAGGGTGCTGGCCAGAGATGGAGATACCCATTCCAGAGAGCTGATGCTGCGACTCTCATCCTGCCAGAAATACACTGGTCCTTTGGCAAGGACTATGCCCCAAAATATCTACACTTCAGTCGATATTTCAAGAAAAAAATGTGCCAACTAACAAGAAGTAAATAGACTGAAAAAATGAATAACTAAATAATATCTCTCACCCTAGAACTTGTGGTCAGGCAACAAAAGCATCATTAGATTTGGTCTCTACCCCACAGTACAAAGAGCTCAGGAAATTTAAACTAGAGGAACTGGTTTTATTGAGGCTTTATTGCCTTTGCTTTGTTTTAATTCAGCAGCAGAACAATTGTTAGAGGAGCTGGAGAAGCCAGTTTCAGTCCACAAAAACACCAATGATTTATTTATTGCTATCATTTAGGGAAAGGGCAGCATTTGCTGGTCCTGAATATTTAACACCGCAGGGAAAAAGCCAGCTGCTCTGAAGCCTGCCTGTTCCAGTGAGGCTCTGCAAATCAGTGTGCCACCCTTGGCCCCCTAAATTCAGAGATGGGAGAGCTGGGAAGCTGTGCTCCAGTGCCTTCTTACAGGGACTGAGACTTCCTCAGACTTCTGCTTGTGTGTTCATGAGCAGCCTGTTGAAGAGACCATCACCCTTCTCTGACCTGCTGTGAAAATCCAGGTAAGGAGGTGAGGTGCATCTATGCCTCAGAAGTCATTTACCTGCATGGCATTCATCTCAGGAAAACTACAATTCATTTTACTTCATGCATCATTTATAGTAATTCTCAGGAGAGCAACGGGTGGGAGAGATCAGCATCAGTGTTTTTGCCTACCCAGAGCTAGAGTGAGATGCATTTTGAAACACTGAAGGGCTGTTCTTAGACTGTTTCCCCCCCCTTCCTTGGTTTTCCAAGGGGCTCAAACTATGAGTCTCAGTCTCTAGCTACTAACTGGCCCAACCCACCAGATGTTTCTTGAAAAAGCATTCAGGAGCAGCCAGACCACAGCCACACACAGGCAGAAGGGAAAACAGGAAAAGACACTTTCCCATGCTTCTCATGTGTCACACTATCTGCCGAGCCCCCTCCTTCCACACGTCACCTACTGCAGTGGGATTTCACTGCTGCTGTTGGCTGTGGAGGAAACAGGCCTGACTGCCGATGGGAATGAGTGACAGGAGATGGCCACCACCCGCCTCCAACTCTCCCCCAAGGAACCACCCAAGGGAGAAGCTCTTAGAGTAGCCTGAGTCTTTTTGTGACCATCACTGTTCGTGAAACACCCTCAGGAGAAGAAAGTGACAGACGCTCCTCACCACCACCCCACAAAATGTATGCCAGGCAAAAAAAGTTGAGGTTTTTTTTTCAAAGGAGTGCCTGTCAAATCTCAAAGCCAATTTGCAAATAGCTGTCCTATCTATATTGCTGTGCATCAATATTTAGCAGCACAAACTGAGGGTCCAACTGGCACAGAATTCAGTAGCAAGATCAGTGCCCAGCTTAAGACCCTTCTATGCTTTATTTTCAGAAAATCTCTTTTTGAATGCTTAAGGAAACAGCAGCTAAAAAGATGAATGCCCCAATGGCTGGGTATGGTTATATCCATCCTATGGCCAGACCATATAGCAATCTCTCCCTGATGTTTAGGATACAAGAGTGAGATTTAACCATGCTCACAGTGCCCAACCACTAGCTGCCATTCCCAGTTTAATGCAAAATGAGGCTTCCAAGCCCTCTGCTTGGCAGAGGAGGTGACTTTTTCTTCTAAGTTTTCACTGTTTGGGTGAGAAAGTTTTTTCCTCAGAAGCTGAAGGGAGCTCTGAAACTGCCAGCTCCCCCAGGGCTTGGCTGTGCCCAAAATACAGGAGTTAAATCACTATAGCTGATATGGAAACCTGGGTGCTCTTGTCCCCTAGTGGAATACTTGACCTTTCATCAGGCACAGGTGCCTTTGGTCCCTTAGGCAGGCAATGAAGGAAACATATTTGCATAACATGGTCAGACCAAAGGTTTCTGCCAGTCTCCCTGGGTGCACTTTTCACTAACAAGTTTGTTTCCAGTGGTGCTGGAGGGCGACAATAAATTGATTAGCCTCTTTAAAATTTCTCATAAAATTGTATTAGCAAAACGGTAAATACATGACACAGGGACTGTAACCACGGGATGTTTACATAATGCCCACTGTGGACAAGTACTAAATACCATAAAAGACCCGAGACCCCCCCCATAAAAAGTCCGCGAGTTCTGGCTCTCAGAAGGCAGCTAGAGCACCATAGTTGTTGCTGTGGTTCCTCCTCCTCTTCCTCCTCCCCATCACATTTCAGCTTCGGAGCTGTGAACTTTGCTGGTGGTTATGGCGATTCCTATCGCTAGGCTTCCGTTGTCAGAAAAGAGTTGAGCCAGGGAAGTGTTCAGCACAAGGCAATCCCCATCCGAAATGACAGAGTCAACGCACTCCAGGATCGACCTGGGCGTCGCCTCCCACTTGAGGCGCCTCTGGTTCCTGTTGAGCTCCAGCCTGTAGGTGAAGTTGTTGGCCTGGGTGGGCGTGCCGATCAGCATCATCGTGGCAAAGAACTGGGGGTGGCCCTCGTGCTTCTCCTGCTTCCTGAGGACCAGCAGAAACTGGTGGCCAAGGCAAGAGTGCATGATGATCCAGTCTGTGGGCGCGGGCAGGTGCATGTCCGTGGCCAGGAAGACAATCTCCGCGCCCTGAAGGATGTTGATGCGGTGGGTCTGCCTCAGGTGGGACACCACCACCTCCAGATGCCCTTCCCACGGGCAGGAGAAGAGCGGGCACGTGCAGGGGACCAGCTGAGGGTCGTGCACTGCTTCGTGGTGATGGCAGGGAGGAAGGATGCCTTGCTCCGTGGACGCCTGCACAGCTGCACAGCGGGTCGATGCATACTGCGGGAAGAGAGAAATTAAATGTGAGAGCAAGCGGGCCAGAAAGCAGTGCAGATGTGCTAGGTGCAGACCTCACAGACGTCAGCCACCCATACTCCACCTAAGGCAGCACCATTGGGGGTGCAGAGAACTCAGCACACCAGGAATCAGAGACAGTCCTGACCTGGATCTGCACAGCACAAGGAGATGGCAGTTGCCTTGTTCTCCAGGAGAACAGACAAACTGTTTGAGCCATGATAAGTGACTTCAAATGAAAATGATGTATGTGCTTAAAGAGCAATTTCATTAATTCAGGGGGAAAAATCTGATTAAAAAGAAAAACCAACCCAACAAAGCAAGGACAGCATGGGGCATTTTATATAGTTAAGAGTTTTGCTGCTCAGAACAAGGGAATGAAATATGTATGGCATTATTATTCTTTAATGAAACATACGGGCAAATACAGGCATTTTCCCTGAAACAATAGGCTTTATTATGCCCATAATTTGTGAAATAAATGTCAGTTTTTATTGTATTTTTTTGGTCACTGTTTTTTTGGTCAATGTATTTGTGCCTAATTGATGCTCTTAGTACCATAAATCTTAAATTGCTCTCAAAGGTGATTGGATGGCAGATTTAGGGCATTTTTATACTAAAGTAAATTTGGATTAAGGTAGGGCAGCTCACTAAAAAGGCAGCAGCTCTTGCAGAAGAATTCCATGTGAGGACTAAAAAGCAACCTATTCTGACTCTCTCAAGAGGATGTTGTTGAAGGGAAATAAGTCTTACTCAGCCAAAAGTGTATTCACATGTGATGCTATTCGGGAAGAGCAATGTCTCTCTACAACAACTGTGTGCCAGACAAGCCCTAAGGCACAGGCATGCTGGTCATGATTCATCTAACCCAATTTTAAGTATTTACTTCACCCATCCAAGACAGAAACCTGGTTACCTGGAGCTGCCTCTGCAGCCTATAGAGTGAGGCAGCCCTTAGAGTGCAGGATTCAGATATTAGCTGGAGTAGTTCAGCTTCTAAAGGTGACACCAGCTGATGCCAGAGAGACTGAGATCCAGTATCTCTTGCTGTGCCTAAATTTTAGCTGTTTAAACATTTTTTTCTCTCTGAACTCCTTTTATAAAGGTACATCTCTCACACCCATTAATGTCCCTTACAGCAGTGCGTACATATATACATACATTTTGCTTTAGCATTTGTTCTAGGAAGATTAATGTAATTCCCTAAATAGTGTCCCACATCCCCTTATTTTTATATATGTACCCAAAATTGCATGAACTACATTATAGTCCTAACATTTAACAGTTGTTCTCCTCTATGCCCCGTCCAACTCATAGCAGATTTGGGATTTTTGAGCAGAGATTTGTTTTATCCAGGGGCAAGCATAATCCCAATAAAATGGATGGTAGATTTGCTGCAAGGGGTGTGTTGTCTTGACTTGTTATGGATACCATGAAAGCTCTCATTACAGCCTTGCTGTAAGTAGTTTTGCCCACCAGAACTTGCACATTTCTTTACAGGATGTTTTGGAAGGCAATCTCTTGGGTAAATTGTCCTAAATCTCAGATGACCAGGGCTTCCTTGCCAGCCAGGATGACAATTCCATCTGTTCTCATTGTGTCAGTAGCTGCCAAAGGTTGTGATGGATGGAGCAGGGTTGTAATTGCTGTTGCTGTGAAATTCATGGCTCTTCCCAAGGCACTGGATGTCAAAGGAAGTGGTTTCTTCTTCTTCTTCTGGCATTTGATATGAAGAATAATTGACAAATTAAGCCTTACTATTGAAACAGGTAGTTTTTTCTTTTGACAATTATTACTTCAGTAGTACTGTTCTACTTTTCCCTTCCTTGTATTTTATTTGTTTTGCTGTATAAAATTCAAGAATATAAACTTTTCAAGAAGATAATGAATTGAGGACAGATAAATGACTATCATTGTCTGGGAAATAAAACAGGTCATTATAAACTAATCAAGGTTTGTGGCTTTAGCTGCCTGCTTATCGCAGTGGGATTACTGGTTCACACTTAATTCTACATTAATTTTTGCATCCCATTAGGATGAAAGTTATGGTTAATTTAAACTCTTTGGTGAAGGAGGCTACTGCAATGGCAGATCATAAAAGCCTTTTAAAAAAAAATTCCTGAAATGCTAATTGCCTCATAAAATGAATTCTAATCTCCCAATCTAATACAGTGGGTGTGTGCAATTACTTTCTCTCGCCAAACTGTTAATGCAAAATTAGTGATTATACTAATTAAAACTAATGAACTCATACTCACATGCTGATAAACCTCTCAACCACTTGACAAGTTCCAGCCTTCTATCAGTTTTATTTAACTCTCTTTTTGGAAGATGAATCTTAAATTAACCTCTTGACTAACATTTAAAATTAAGTTTTGAAATTTGAAGCTTTATAGACTATGTATAATTCTTCTCCAAAGATTACCAGAGTGAGAGAAACCATTTCCACTGAGGATGAAATTGAATTTAGAAATGCATTCTTCTAATTTCAGAAACATGGTGAACAATGGTAGCTCATCCATCTAAACTGCATCCAAGGTAAGAAAATACAAAGGTCTTCAAAAATCTTATTATGACAAACATGTGTCTATGGCTCAGGAATTGGAAAAATAAATTACAATGAGCAACTTATACAATATATCTTTCTTCTTTCCTAAACTTGTGAATTTTTGTGTGTGCGCATAATTATGAATTCCTTTTCACAACCCTCATTTCTGAAATATTTCTATGAACCATTTTAACAAAGGATTTCTAGTCTAACTTTGTTCATTTCAGGTCTATTGAAAATTCTTGAAACTCAATACAAACCACGTGATCTATTTTTATTCTTTGGCTTGGTAAGAACCATTTTAAAAATCTGGCTTCTGAATTGTTTGTTACATTCCTGTTTCAAAATTTTAAATTTTTAGTATTTAGAAAGAAATGTTTAATAATTCCCTGTCACTTTTTAAAAAAAAGTATCAGAGAAAAATATTTTCCATTTACTTTTGAGGTGTGAGTGTAACTGTCAGGGTGTTTGTGCTCTTGCTGATCATTCATATGGCTGTGAATTGAAATGTAAAACAGGGAAAAAATGGTCACCTTGAGTGCATTTAAATGCTTGAATAAATATTTATGAACAGTTTTTCCATGTTTAATCTGCTCCAGTATTTACTTTCTACCATTTATTGCCCAATTACCTAATAAAATTAGATTTATTATATTGTTGTGTCAGTCCAGTATTATTCTCAATTATCTTTTAGCCTGTTGGCCAATTTCAGTCAAATTGAACTGTGGGATGGAATTCTCAAATGCTTTAATTTTCAACCGTTTCTGAAAGAAGAGGCATCAGGGTAGAGCAGCATGACCCTTTCATGTCTCCAGGGAGGAACAGCTGGCCACGTGGGCAGAATTACATTGACAGATAGGAGAGAGCCTAAACAATGGCAGTTTGATCCCAAATGGATTATAGACACAAGAGAACTCACATGAGACAGTGTCTTTATGAACAGGAGAAAAGGCTTCAGCCAGAGTGCTCCTCATTAGATGCAACATAATCCCACCATGAGGCACCAAACCGCAGGAAACCAGGCTCTGCTGCTCACAGAAAAATTTCTTTTTAATGATGCAGCTTATTACAGAGCAGTTCTTTTCAAGACCAAGTAACTTGGCAAAGGCCAAATTATAAGCACATGGTGCTTTTCTTATGGAAAAAATCCCCCAACCAAACCATGACTAGATTTGGACTACGACACAGGGTTTCTGCTAAAAATGCAACAAATTACTTTAGATGTGACACATTTGCTCTGCCTTTGATATTTGAGGGGTAAGTCCCTAACTCTGAAGACTGTCAGCTCTTTTCACAGCCCATGAGGAGTCCTGGAGTGCAATTCACTTGATTCTAAGTGGTGCTGAAAGAACATCCCTCTGGACACCCTCTCTACATGCAGACAGGACCAAACCCATCCTCAGCACAGACTCACAGAGGTTTAACTGGTTTCTAGACAAGAAATAGAAGGACAATTCAATTTTAGTAAGGAAAGATGTTTACCACAATATGCTTCTCCTGCTGTGCTGGAGACAACACAGCCCATGGAGAGAGAAATGGATGTCTGCTCACATGAGGGTGTAAATCTGTGGCTCCCTACCATCATTACAACTCCAAAGACTTGATAGAAAACTCAGGGGAAGGATGAAGGGTAGATGCAAGAGTTAAAGACCTCCAAGAGGTAAAGAATACACAAACACATCTCTGAGTCTGCAGCTGCAAAGCTGAGGCACCCACCCAGGAGAAAGGTGCTATTGCTCCTCATGCTCTGAGGGACCTTTTGTGCTTGAGCTAGTGAAGTCTTTAGATCAGCTATGGTGAAAATAGTGGAAACAGAGGCAGCAACCCACGCTGCACCTCTGCTGGCTGAGTTCATGGCCCTTGTTGGTGCAGGCACTGGATAGACCACCATCTCTCAAGCCTTGCTTCTCTGCTGCACATTGGTACAGCTTCAGCAGAGAGAGCAAGTGCAGCTGCTGCCCTGAGCAGCTAAATGTCTTGCCATTGAAGTTCTGACTTAAAAATGGTTAATTGGCTCAAGATAAATCCCACAGGGTGAGGGAGAGTTGAAAGCAGTGCTCCTGTCCCATGGGAGAGGGCCTGGACACTGCTGACCTAGACAATAAGGAGGGGAGTAACATCACCACGTTGTAGAAGAATAAACACTTCAGGTCTTCAGAGTAAAGGTTAAGTGTCACCTTTCAGCACTTTCCAACATTCCTCAGTGTTATGCTGGAAATCTGCATATCTCATTCATACTTTTACTTGCTGTAATGCACATAATGTGCAAAAATCAGCCTTTCACATCCCTGTGAACAGTGCCAATGCGTGCCAAGAACCTCCCAAGGAAGGAGGACAGGGACTGGTTCCCTGCCCAATAAATAAGTGTTTCTGACAGGAAAGCACGTGTTGCAAATAATCATCTTTTTCTAGACCCTTCACACCCGTGCGACTGCAT